GCACAAACTTCAAGTAAAGTGAATATAAGACGGTTATAAGACCTAGAATCAAATCAATAAGAGATACAATCAAAACAAAGAAGTAAACAATGACAGGTTTAAGGTCAATAAGAACCAATCAAGATCGAGGTCTACGGGACAAGCTGTGTATTTATTACTTATTTATTTAAACACATAAACTTTGGTACAAGAAGGCACCAAATAGATATACGCCACACAAATCATTCGATTTGTGTGAGGGCTGGGATACTGCCCGGGTGCCCAAACCGAAGCAGGTGGTTTCCTTAGGGGCCACTCCCCGCGCCTTGGACCTAAAGGCCTGACCCACAAGGCAGTGGAGCATCGTAAGGAGATGCAGTCCCATGGTAGCCGGTGACCAACAATTGGTTCATACGCCATTTGTTCCCGAAGGATACTGGAGCCCATGTGCACCATTGATTTGAAATCCGGTTAAAGCGCCGGACATTCGCTTTTCGTCCTCTCATTTTCGTAAACAACACACCCGCCACGGAAAGGTAGTGAGTAGGACTTCCCTGGCAGAGGCTGTATACGCGTGGCCGTGGGAGTGCATTTCGAGAGGAAGGGCGGGCCCACCCAACTCTCGGCAGTACCAGGGCATTCGGGGCAACAGGACAAGCTGTGAGCCATATGTGGAGAAATTCAAACACTTCACTTCTGATGTTGATGTTGTTCAGAAGAATGATGAAGGCTTCACGGCCGAAGCATCCAGCTCAGAGAACAAAACTTCATCAAAATCATCCACCTGAGCTACAAATCTTCTCCATTAACTCAAATGCTAAATTCATATTTTACTCAGCTAAAATGTAAAGTATTGCTAACAAAATTTTAATTCAATCTACTTATTAACAATTTTACGTAATAAACATAGGAGATTTGATTAGACTATTAACTAGCGGAGTTTAACCATATCAGAAGTGACACAGTAATCTATATCAGATGATAGGAGATGGTTATACTGTGGTGTGTGCTCCTTATAATGACATAAATAGTATATGATGTTTGTTGTGAACAGAAGGTCTGGCAACAGAGAGACAAGGGGATCGAACAGTAAAGAATGGAAACAGAATGTAATTTGTATGAAAATACAAGAATAATGAAGTCTGAGTCATTTTGAAACAATTGGTGAACATTTTCCAAATTAAGCATTTACTTTATGATTGCTAGATTCATTTAACAAGTCCTGTAATTTTGTGTTAAATACATTCGATTGTCCCCACCCGTGTTCTGTACACTACAATACAACATCGTGAATTGATTGGAGTTAGACATTTATATGATTGAATTTCGGCTAAATAATCTTATGCTTAAACTTATGATGTAAGATCAAAGGTCCTTGGTTCGATCTCTAATGAGTTCATTGATGAACATTGTTAAGGAATCCATTTCTTCTTGATTTTCGATAGTCATTTATTAAATATTATGTCTCGATGTAAACCATGAATATTTTGATATAAATTGACTCTAAACTACCTTATTTCAAGATATATCTTAGTAATTTTCACAGGTTGAAATCATGAGTCAGTTGAAGCTAGACCACCATTGAAAACCTGGAAGCACTGGACGGCCGTTACGTCCTGGTATGGGACTCCTAAGCAGTGCGCATCCACGACCCCGCACCACGCGGGGCTCGAACCAAGGACCTACTGGCTTCGCGCGCGAGCACTTAACCACTAGACCACTGAGCCGGCATCCAACGGTGTTAATGTCTAACTTCAACCAGGTTTTCAATGGTGGTCTAGCTTCAACTGACTCATGATTTCAACCTGTGAAAATTTCTAAAACTCTCCACAAAACCCATTCTGATAATATATCTTAGTAATTTAATCATTTAATGTGTTCAAACCCAAGTGCATTTTTTTCTTATTTAAGTAAACATTCATAACATATGTTACTATGAATTGGTGAATTTCTTAGATTCAACACTGAATTTCATTCAACTGAATAAATTACATCTGGTTATTCATTTTTAATTTGTTTGTTTGTTTGTTTGTTTCTATTCACCTTTATGATAGAGAGTTTCTGTACTGTTTACAATAATATTTATAAGTTGTATAATCATAGTAAATATGATCATTTGTAAAAAAACATTTAAAAAAAGGAAACTGAAAAACAACATTTTTATTGACCATTATTGACAGATCTCTGCTTAAACCTTCAAAAAACAAAGACATATTTTCTATTTACCGATTGATCAAGCATTGTATCTATTATAGATGGGGATTTGTGAAGATTTTAGTAGTTTAACAGTTGAATTCATGAGTTAGTTTAAGCTAGACTACTACTGGAAACCTGAAAGCATTGGATGGCTGTTTTGTTCTATTATGGAACTTCTAAACAGTGTGAATTCACGATCCTGTACATGGGACTGGAACCTAAGACACTCAGTCTTGCACGCGAACTCTTAACTCCTAAACCACCGAACCGTTTGACATCTAACGGTGTTAATGTTTAACTTTATTCGATCCATGATGTTGCACAACGTTTCATCCATTATCTGAGGTGGATAACTGTCTCCACCCGATACGGATTGGACTACTATGATCTACATTCAAAATGGAACTTCTGAAGTTCTAGTGTGAAGCCATGACTAATGGAGTTCAACCGTGTCAGATGTGAAGCAGTTATACACTGAAGACAATAGAAGATGGTCACGCAATATCGTGGATTGGTTGAAGTTAGATATTGACACCTTTGGGTGTCTGCTCGGTAGTCTAGAGGTTATCACCTCGAGCGTGAGGCCGAAGGTCCTAACTTTGAGTCCCGTGTGCGGGATCATGGATGCGCGCTGTTGAGGTGTCTCCTGGTAGGACAGAACGGTCGTGCAGTTTCCAGTTGTGGTTTATCTCAGACTCAACTGTGAAAGATATAACTGTTTGACTTACTTTTAAGTGACATTTTACTATTCATATAAGATGAATATTATTTGGTGTTTTTTTGATGGACATTTCACTACTGAATTTACGATTAGATAAATCTAATCATGTGTATTATTATGAAAATTTGTTGTAATTTAGCTGTAGAGTGTAATAATAGCATCTTTATTGCGTTCCCACTTATTTTAAAAGAGTAATGATACTTCAAATAACTTTTGAAGCCTTCATAGTTAATAAGTGATCACTGAACGTATATATATCTTATCAACTAGTTGCCAGGTGATTATTTTAACCATTTAATTGAGAGAAATATATTGTGCCGTTGACTTCTAACTGAAATATGATTAAAAGATCGTTTTTGTTGTGCACTTGCGTTGGTTATAGTAGTATTGATAACTAGAATGAATTTGACAAATGGTTTGTTTTGTTTTGAGAGTTGAGAACAGTGACTGATTAAGGTGTGTTGTTTTTGCGCTTATTCACAATCACTTATCTTCATAATGAATTATGGGTATTTCTAGTATGAGGCTTAAACTTAACAGTGAGATAGATGATTATCGACGACGCTAGAAAATCAATTTATTATATTGCAGTTGACTGAAGCTTAAAAATGTGAACTGTTTTATTTTTTACATATACCTAATATCCCTTACAGAGCATAGGCCGTCGGCCAAGATTCTCCAGCCGACTGTATCCTGGGCTCTTCTTTCTATCTCTTCCATGTGCTGTTCATTCTTTTCATATCTGCCTCCAATCACCGGCACAATACGTTCTTTGGTCTGCTTCTTTTCTTTATAACTCGGAAATTCCAAGTCAGGACTTGCTTCGTGATTCAGTTCAATGATTTCCGCTAAAGGTCTTATCCACCTACATCATCTTCTCATAATTCTTGCTTCAGCTGAAAGCTGGTTTGTTCTCCGCCACGGTAGGCAGCTGCTAATGGTATCCGACCAGTGAATCGGAAGTTTCTTGTGTAGACAATGGTTGCAGTAATTCTTTGCCCAGAGCCTTTTTAAGGTTACTGCATGTCCCAAGCCTGAATAAAAGAATAGACTTAGGCATGAGGTTAGCAAGTTCTATCTATAGAAAAGAACCTTGCTAAATAATCCGGATCAAAACTATTGGATACAAACTCAATTTTTTTCGAAATTATTCGATTCATCATACCATATGAATTTTTATGATCTAATACCTCATGTGTTTATTGAGGGTTAGTTTTGAGAAGCCACAGTTATTAGTAAAATATCTATTCAAATTTTTGATTATACTTTAATAGACGTGACTTACAATGGAAATTATCTTCACAATGAAATAAGCATAAACAAATCACTCATGTAAAGTGATTGTTTAATAGGTTCAACCGTTATTTAACCAACATTACGCTTCCATGATTGGAAAAATTGATGAAATTGGGAGTGGAGAATTGTTAAATGGATGAACTTAATGGAATTCAAATGAATGGATTAAAGGATATTAGAGAATCTAAAAGTTCTATAGGATTATATCACTATCCATTTATATTATGCATATTTAGCATTTCTAAGAGGTTTGAACTTTTTCCTCTCTTTGATACATTCAAATTCAATATAAGGCATAATTTAACATTTATCAATCAGAATGAGTAACAGACTATTCTCTTCAGGTCATGATTTATGCCTTGTAAAACTGAGCTATTTACAATTGCTTAATCATTGAGTAGTGAATAATGTCATGTTTATTTAGTCTTTGAGTACTGATTGAATTCAATCTATCAAGTTTCAATGTGAGCGCTAGTCTGAGTGACTAAATATTGAGTGCCCTGTTTTCAAACTGTAGGCGGTTAGAAGTAGTCTATACAGAATTGTGGATCTAACATCTTAACATACTATACGCAATTTTAAAGCACTCAAATTAGTGTCTACTTTGTAACTTGATATACAACACATAAAGGACTAGATGAATATGTCATTGGTAATTACCTAGTGATCAATTGATTGCCAACCTTTACACATTTAATTGGTATTAATGAAAACATTCCCAATATTTTATGGAAATAAAAACTATTAAACACAAGGATCATAAACATATTAATTCGTTTCTTTTATTGTTCTTTTCAACAATTTTCAGTGGCTGCCGAAAGTTTTGATCCAGAAAAAGACAGTGATGATAATAATGAAGAAGAGAGACAAATTTATCCGAAATCTGATAGTCAACGAGCTAGGCTAACTAATGCTGTCAAAGAAATCCTACTCTTTCGATGTCTTGATGAAGTAAGTCTGAGCTATTTTCCTTTTATTATTCATACTATAGCAAATCAATATGGACAATAACATGGTAATACAATCAGAAGGGGATTTTGTGGATATTATAGTAATTTTAATAGTTGAGATCATGAGTCAATTGAAGCTAGACGACCATGGAAAATCTGGAAGCACTAGACGACCGTTTCGTTCTAGTATGTGACTTTCCAGCAGTGCGAATTCACAATCCCGCCTTGCTAGATTCAAAGCAGTGACCAGTAGGGTTCAACCGTGTCTGTTGTGAGATAGTAACTTATTGAAGACAATGGTGGATATGTTATTCAATTTCGTGGATTGGTTGAAGTTAGGTATTAACACCATTGGACACCGACCGGCTCAGTGATCTAATGGTTAAGCGCTGGCGCGCGAGATTGATAGATCCTGGGTTCGAATCCGACGAGACGGAATCGTAGATATACGCTTCTGAGATGTCCCATACTAAAAAGAAACAGCCGTCCATTTCTTTCAGGTTTTCCATGATAGTCTAACTTTAATTAATTGATGTATTCAATTATCAAATTACTATAATATCCACAAAACTCTACTCTAAATAATTGTATCTTCTATCACTTGTTTACTTGTTATAAATCTCGCACTTATTTCTCTCTTTTCATAATTACATTACAACATTATTTAAATATTATTTATCTTTGTTTACAATCAACGTTTCACTGACCTTAATCTAAGAAAAGAAATAAAGGACAAATGAGGCTTAGAAATTGAATTAATTAACACATTTTAGCATATCATAGATATATTTTAAAGATATTAGAAGAAGAAGAAGAAGAAGAAGAAGAAGAAGAAGAAGAAGAGGAAGAGAAGAGAACCATATTCAAACTTGGATTCTCTATTAAGATAAACGAATCATTTTCTCTTTGTAAATGTGTTTCTGAATTCATTGTTGGTTTAATTCATATTCCATTTTCTTCTATTTTGTATATCTTGATTAAACAGCACTTCTTTTGTTAATATATATGAGGGAGAAAAACATGTAAACATGACCTTCTGATAGATTCATGAATAAATATAGTTATCGATAGATGAGAAAAAACTATCCATATAAAGAAACATATATACATGTTTCATTAAAATCTACTAAGGAGAAATTAAACATTGAAGAGGATCTTAAAGTTGTTTTGTTTTCAATGAAGACTCTTCAGAAGTACACAATAATAATGGACTAGATTTAATGTTGTTAGAATTTATTTAAATCATGATATCATTCTATGACTGAGTCGAAATATAATGACCCATACATACATATAACACACCAAAGTGATGTTATGTCACTAGTGAGAGACATTCACATTGATCTATGACTATGAGATCTTGAAGTTCCTTTGAGATGTATTATATGAGATCAGTTTTAATAATTTGTATTCATTCATTTTATCAAGAGTGAAATGTTCAGACATGTATAAAAATGTAAAAATTTTTTTGTATATGATGATCACAGATTGAATGAATTAGTATCAGATAGTGAATTTCTGATGACGATCTCTTGATTTCAATAGTTAGAACTTTATTTCATATTATTATATAATTCCCTGTGAACAATAATGGTTAGGCTGTTCCTTTCCAAAATGCCCTGATACGGCCGAGGGTGGAGATAATCCGCTCTCCCTCTTGAAATGCTCTCACACGGCCACGCGTATACAACTTCTGTCAGGGAAATCCTACTCACTATCTTCTCGTGTTGGGTGTGTAGTTTACGGAGTTAAGAGGACAAAAAGCGAATGTCTGGCGCTTTAATCGTGTTGAGGGACACGGACAGTCCACCTGGAGGAGTTGGAAAACCCTGATTCCCAACTAACGGTGCAAATAGCCTCTAGGATCCTGTGGGAACAAATAGCCTATGAACCATTTGTTGGTCATCGGCTACCATGGAACTGCATCTCTTGACATTGCTTCAATGCTTTGTGGATTAGACCTTCACGTCAAAAAGATCGAGGTGTGACCCCCTAAGAAAACCACCCGCTTCGGTTTGGGCACCCGGGTAGTATCTCAGTCCTCACACAAATCGAATGATTTATGTGGCGCATATCTGTTAGGTGTCTCCATGTATCAATGTTTATGTGCTTAAATAAATCTGTTAGACTGTTTTACTAATTTGTCTATTTTAGTAAAGTCAACTCAAGACATTCAAGTCTTTCATGTACTACGGTATTACTCGACCATTGAGTTAAAAACCGATTGTTCTAATTCCTTAATTCCATGTATTTTGAAAAATAAATAAATCAGTATACCAAGTTACTATTGGTCAACTCTCAGTTCATAAAAATGTCTTTGAATAAGTGTAATTATTCAATCCTATATATGTATTTTTATCCAAAAAATGCATAATTATGGACTTATAACTGTTGAGCCTAATAGTGAAGTTATTAAAAGCAAGTGTTCTCTCAAATATTCTTAATTTTTCGAATATTCTATTGGGATTTTTAAACTGCTAATTTCGTTTTATCAGTACGAGGTTGTAAAGATTATTAAGTTTCTGATTGAGATCATGAACTGAGTGATGTTAGACTACCATTGAAGACGGCTGTTTCGTCCTAGTGCGGGACTCCTCAGCAATGCGTATTCACGATCCTGCTTGTGGCATTCAAGCCCATGGCCTTCGGTCTCTCACGCGAACGCTTAACCTCCAGACCACTGATCCATTTTATGAAAGTATCAAATGACTTGATAAATAAACAAACAATAAGTGTACACCTCAAAAGTTTCTTAACCACTTCTTTATTTTTGAAAAGTTGAGACTATAATTTATGGACAAGCTTTGAGCAACGCTAAACTAACCTTGAAAATCAGATTTACGATAACAGGTCATCTATTTGGCTAAATAGCGTATTCCCATTTTAGCTCGTGATGAAAACGCCAAAACTAATTCCTAACCCTAACCATTAACTGTGAATAAAACCCTTATTTAGCCCTAATATATATATGTGGACATTCTCAAAATCAGTTTGGCATCGCTCAATGGTCATTCATACATCATAGTCTCATCCAGGTAACTTGTTGAAATATTTAGATGACAAGAACAAGTAATCTAAATATTACAAAACAGATTGATTTTCAATTTTCACTTAATGTAACTTATTTATGTTTACCAGGTAATTGTATTTTGTTTATTTTCTAGAAGTGGAACACATTTCAATGTTTGTTTACTTATTTGTTTGTATTTTTAAACGAATTGAATTCAATCCCTAAAGCATTGCTATTGAACATTTTCAAAAAATAATAAACTTACTTAGAGATTATGACAATCCAGTAAAAGTAAACAACCTTCAGTTGTTTGGTTGTTTGTTCGTTTGTTTGTTTGTTAGACAATTTATGAAATACATCGAGATAAATAAACATTCTCCATGGTACAAATAAAAGGCACACCTTAACTTTTACTTTTTCACTTACTAATGGAAATGATGTGCTTTACAAATTAATGTTGTGAAGAATAATTGAATATAGAATATTTAAGACTTATATGTCAATTTAAAAAGAAGAAATTATAACGAGTATTATCATTATTATTAACAGTAGTAGTAATTTGGTGTGTACTACTTATGTTGAGAGATATAAGTAGTATATAACATCAGTCGAAAGTGAAGTGCCTAAATGCAAAAGGTCGAAGAGGAGAGAACGAGAACTTGAAATGATTGGTATGGAAATGAAGGAGCAATGAAATCTGAGACAGCTGATGGACATTTTGCAAATGAAGTATTTACTTTATCATTCTGTAATTTTGTATTGAAATACATTCGATTGTCCCCACGGGTGCTCTCGTTCACAACAGTAGTAGTAGCAACAGTAGTAGTATTGGTAAACTTCACCCTAATACTCTGGTTACTTAAATGTCTTAATGATCTTCTCTTAGTATCCATGATACCTTGTTTAACCTAGGTTTCTTGCCAGTTACCACTTGTGAAGAAGATGTACTGTTAATTGTCAGGGAACTAATAATCACACATAAGGTTCAAACAGCTTGTCGATAAAATCTCACACTGTGAAACTGAGCGACTAGAATTCAAACTTATCAGGTGAAAATTAGTTTTTTTAAGATTACAGCCAAGCATATTTAACTGGTATCAAGTAGCACGAAACCTAGGTCAAACAGTGTTTTTGATCCAGCTAACTTAAACTACCTAACATCTAAATCAAATCAATTAAGTTAGTGACTATACCGAAAATTGATACGTAGACCTTGATTAACTGTTAAAGAGAACTGGATGAACAATAAATTTAAAAGCATAGCTGATAAAAGCACTTGATTCTTCATAATTCACATAATGGACTTTTAGTAGCTGGTACTATTTCAAGCCCATATAGGTTATTCTAGCCTCTGAACGGATCAATCTATTCATTCTTCTCAAGCTATATTTTGACCTTGTTAATCATCCACTTATCAACCTTGAATGTTTTTATGTGAGCGTATGCGTGTAGACTTTTCATGCTACTCATCACATGTTCGGAACTTATTTTTATCTGACTACAAATAATGATTAACGCTTGATTTAAATCGGGTTGGTTTACATGCTTCATCTACCGTGCGTTATTTCGCTTCGTTTTTCCGATTGTTTGTCGTGACCAACGATTGTATGAAATACTCGTAGTCGAAATTCGTTCTCGCATTTGACTCATTTAATTCCATTCTTCACCAACGCGAGCGCAGTCGATAATTATATGCGAAGATTGGCGGAATGTGTATTTCAATAACAATGATTCATAGGATCTAATTGGAGTCCGATCTCGGGCCACCAAAGACTAATTATAGTTAGACAACATTGCAATATAGCAAATTCGTTAAGGTGAGACTTGTAAACTACTGGGTTTCAACTCATTGCTTTAAAGCTTAAGCACTCAAAGAAAAACCTGAACGTTCTTCGTTTCGTCCGCTGTTAGGTTGTGGACGCTCACTTCTGAAGAGTCCTTTGCTGCGACGAAACAACTATCCAGTTCAACATGATCTTCAACGTATATCTATTAAACATTGTTCCGTGATATAAACCAAGAACATTTAACAATCTCAACAAATCCCTATAGCTATGGAACTCAATTTAGTTAACGATTATTCATTAAGCTTAATTTATAAGTAATCAATAGCATCTTCAAAAAGGATTAACTGATAATCAGTCTAACATTTTCTTTTCTTTTTTATTCGGATTGTTTCTCTAAAGAACTACTCTACTATATTTATCTTCAAAGGTAAAGCTAATTCTCTCTTTCTTTTTTTTATATGAAGTTACCTTTAAATAATGTTATTTTTTTAGTTTAGTAAGTGATTAAAGCCTTCAATTAGAATGGACTTTTATTTTCTACTACAGAAAATTTATCAAATATATATAATCAGAATGGGGAGTTTTTGAAGATTTTAGTAACCTCAGTAATTGAATTCATGAATCTATTTAAGCTGGACCACCACTGAATACCTAAAAGCACTAGACCGCCATTGGATGCTGGCTTAGTGGTCTAGAGGTTAAGAGTCCGCATGCGAGATCGAAGGTCTTGGGTTTGAGTCCCGATGTGCGGGACCGTGGATGCACGCTGTTGAGGAGTTCTATGCTAAGACGAAACAACCATCCACTCCTTTCAGGTTTTTAATGTTTCTAGCAAACTAATCCGTAACCCGGTTTTCATCCTATTTAGAATTTGTCAGTTCAATGTGTTTGTATCCTAGTATTATCTCGGAGATTCGAAACCAATGCCTGTTTTATTCAGACCTTCAACGCAATATCAACACTAAGATGCAGATAAATACAGCTGATGAGTCCTGAAGACGACAAAAAACCGGTCTTCACTTAATAAAGCTATCGAAACAATCTATTTAGGTTGTGTGTAAGTTAAAAAGTGACTGATCAAAATTCAGTCCTTAACATCAACAACGGGAATATTTTTAAGCACTTACCAACCAATATTGGCAAATGTATTCTTAAAAAAAATAAGTGACTCAGACGTTAGTACACCAAATGATATAAGTCATCTTTATCTATCCATTATTTATACTTAAAACTTAAGTCAGGAATAAAGTCGACAATCTCATGTAATTAGTTCCCTTCATGAATTTGAATACAGCTAGAATGAACATTAATGCAGAATCATCATAATAATAAACTCAATAGACTGTCGAAGAAAGCCTTGTCTTCTAGTATGGTTCCTGTACAACGTAATGATAACACTCAAGTAAACAAAACATTCAACAGAGTTTACATAAACCAACTAAATATAGATTTCTTATAAACAAAATAAATTCATACAAAACATAAACGAATCATGTGATTATGTAACACTTTTTCTGATTTTACAAACTGATTAAGTAGAAATTAAACATCATTGTTTTCTATGGTGATCTAATTTTTGTACAATATAATTTCATATACCAAGTTTTACTCTTTGTGTAAGCACTAAATTTTGACTATTTTTAATTTGTATCCGAAGGGGTTTTGTGGAGATTGTAGTTAATTGAAGCTAGATCACCATGGAAAACCTGGAAGCACTAGACGGCCGTTTCGTCCTATCGTGGAACTCCTCATCAGTGTGCATCCACAATCCCGCCACACGAGATTCGAACCCAGGATCTATCAGTCTCGTGCGCGAGCGCTTAATCACCATAAAAATATGAGGAGAATTTTTAACTAGTGTTAAACTTGAACAAGAGGTATGAATAAAGAAGAAAAATGAGTCGAAGCACATCTTGTTTAAAATTAATTAACATAAAGATCTAAAGCAAAGCATTGCGTCAGTTAATACTTACTAGCATGAAATAATCGTAATGTTTTAGAAGCTAAGCTCGATTAAAGATACAAACTAGAATCGTTTAATGTCAAAGCGATATTACTCTTTAAATATTCAGGCCAATTAGTGTATTTGTTCTTGTTTCTGTTTCGAAAACAGAAGCTATCGAGAATACATTATGATAAACCAAATTTGTAACACATATAGTTACCAGATGGGCTTTGTGGATATTATAGTAATTTCAATGGTTAAGATCATGAGTCAGCTGAAGCTAGACCACCATGGAAAACCTGGAAGCACTGGACGGCCGTTTCGTCCTATTGCGGGTTACATTTATAATAAACTTAATTTGTACCTTGATCTTGACTTGTCAACATTGTAATTATAATTAATAGTCATTTCTAACAATAAATTAATGAGATAATTCACTCATATTTTAATGTTCTACTTTTTAATTTAAGGAACAAAAGTCGAGAGTTATCGATGCTATGCAAGAAATGAAAGTTAAAGAAGGTGATGTAGTTATTAAACAAGGTGATGATGGGGACAATTTCTATGTAATTGAATCGTAAGTTAGCTAAATTTTATTGTAGGTTTTATTTGACTATATTTTAAATAACCTGGTTATTTGTTGAACGTTACAGGAATATTCAATTAATGTTGATGACCTAATGTGTCACTAAAAATACAAAAAACTTCAGCCAACAGATGCAGTGTTTCCTTTGAAGTTTTCCAAGATAGAGAATCCCAATTAGCTTGTAAACACTTCGGTACATACAGTTAGAATTTGAAACTATTCAGTTCAAACCGATGTAGAAGAAAAGACTTAGCTGACATATTTGAGAATTTTAAAAGCTGTATGCCCAAACTTTATAAGCAAAGATGGATAATGGCTAGCAGTGGAATCCAGGGACTATTCAGTTGATGATCCACTTAGCTACTGAATCCTGATAGCCACCTGCTTGTGTAATTGGGTGAAGTTTTAAATTGGTTTGATGGTACGATACAAGTAAACAACATCAAGTGAATGTATGCCCGAACATTTAAGTGTGCCACCAACATCTGGAACAATTATCCAACATTTCTAGAATATTCGCAAGCGTTAGTAACTTACCAAATAATAATCAAATTATTTACTTTCTTCAACATTCTTAATATTTTGGACACAATGACATAAAGTTAATGTCAAGAAAGAATCAAAAAGAATATGCAAAGGTTTTAATTATAGAGTATAGAAAATAGATTTGAATAGAAGGTAGTCAACGGAATATGACTAGCAAGACATAAATAATGTACAATTTACATTTGATGACGCAACACAAAAACAAAGGGATAGCATAAGAATACGAGATATCATAAACAACTGTTTCGTAACATGTTCAGCATCTAAGTGAAAATACATAGTCAAAGTATCTGCTGTTATCCAATGGTATTATGTTGGGAATATCCAGAAAACTTCTCGGAAAAAGCCAAGAAAGTCTTTGAAAACACTGAGAAGAGTTCAGTAGAAGTTTTGCTAGAAACATCAAAAAAGTGAAAAGTCACATGTAGAGTTTCTGAATGGCTGATCACCATACTGCTACTATGTTTAGTAGCATTCCAGAATTTTAGGGGAACACAAGGACATCTAAAATACTATAGAAACCCTATATTTTCTGTACATAAATGAACCATTGGAGTAAAGTGTTTTTTACATATTTCGTGCCTTTTCCCTCGTGTTCAAGTCACTGTGTAAGCCTGGGGCTTACTAAAAGAGCTTAGGAACAGAATATAGTGTTCAATTAGCAAGACTTATCATGTAACATATTGAATATTAGAAACATTTTAAAGATTCATTTTGAATAAAACTAAAGAGAATTGAGCGGAGTAAAGTTTCTTTTCGACGAAGTCATTTACTTAGGCTGTACATTTATATTTATAACTGTTTGCTGAGTATATAAGTTTAAAGAAAGATAGAAAAGATTGCATTATTAAGTGATTCGAGATTGCAAATATCAATTGAGGTTATGTAATAATCAGGGGCATAGGGAAGAACAGGGGGATGAAAATAATTTACGGGTCAGTATTATGAAAGATAATTGTCCACTTGACAGATATGAAGAAAAGTAAATAATGAATTGAATAATGATCCTAACAAATAGTTAAGGATTTGTAGCTCAGGTGGATGATTTTGATGTGGAGTTTTGTTCTCTATGCTGGATGATTTGGTCGTAGAGATTTCATCGTTCTTCTGAACGACTTCTATCTGAATTTTGTGCTGATGATGTCGTTCAGAAGAACGATGAAAACTCCACGACCAAACCGTCCAGCTCAGAGAACAAAACCCCAATGAAGTTGTTAAACGATAATAATTACCGATTACCACTTAAAATTGCAAAACACTAATTTTAAATAAATACAGGACTAAAACATACTTCAGAAGGGAATTAAAGCCAAAAAAGGGTGAGAGCTTATACGTATCGTTTCTGCATTCGGGATTCAGATTAGAATCAGTGGATCTCCAACGCCTCAGCAGTACATAAGTGTTTTATTCGGTGTCCAATTTATTATGTCCCTTCAATTGCTTCGATTTTTCTGAAAAGCTCCTTGGGAGCAACGTATTCAGAGTTGGACAGGTGCTCCTGCATTGAACTGGTGATATCTTTGTATTCCCTTATCAAAAGCCATACCTGGTTATGTTCTGAGATGCGTTTAGAAAGCGATCGCTTTGTGCAGTCAATGTAAACCGCCCCACCGTAACAAGTAAATTTATAGATGCACATAGATGTGACCCGAAGCAGAAGTTTATCCTTAACATATCCGTGAGTGGTAGACCGGGTTGAAAAGACAATACAAAGCTTAGCTGAATAGAGGGCTTTACTCAGGAATTTTGAAATCCAGTTATTCAAGATTTCGGCATCCGTATCTCCATTAAATTCGATATTCAGAAAAACACTTTTCTTTCGAACTGTCGGTTCTTTCCCAGGGTGTTGTCTTGGTGTTAAGTTCCTATTGATAAATCTAGGTAAATAACCACTTCTGATGAGCATCTGCCAAAGTCTAAATAGTTCGTCATCTATTATTTCACTATGATATATTTGCCTAGTCGTCGAGGATAAAGAATAAGTTGTTTCGTTTTCTTCGCAATGAGACCCAGCTATGGAAATTCGCATACTTACCATTCCAGGTTGGTCTTTTACACATAGATCTCTGTAAAGAACCATCTGATCTCCTTTTCAAACAAACATCAAAAAAATGAAATTCGAGTGCGCTTCTCATGTGAATTGAATTAGGTGATGACAATTATTGAATCGGTTCAAAAGTTCATTGAGGTCCATATCTTCACAAACAATAAACGTATCATCCATATATCTTCTATATAAATGAAATATCTCAATTATTACTTGATGTACCGTATTTTCTAGATTGGTTATGAAAAAATTATTCAAGAGAGAGCCCCTTGGTGAACCCGTTGCAACCCCATCAGTTTATCGATGAAATCATCTTTCCGCCATTTATATGAATATTTCAAATTGAGTCGACAAAATCTAATAGATCAAAATAGTTGTGTCTACCGATATAATTTTTAAAGATTTGTAAAATCTCAGCCAACCATTTAGCAATCGAATGTTACGAAAAGCTATTCATATCAACTAGAAGTCATATTGAGACATTCTACCAATAAACTTTCGGGAGTTCATATAGTCTCGGTATAACGGAACCCGATAGCCTAAAATGTTGTTTAGAATCCAAACTAAGGTTTGGACTGAAAAATAACTGTTTAGGTAGTTTGGATACGTACTATCGCCCAGTTGAAAGCAAAAACAATGTGATTGGGTAAATGATGGTTCTAGATTTCATTATAAATGTAAATGTACATTATTGCCTAAACAGTTATTACCACCGAGTTATTTAACCAATAATTGTTCAATCAATCAAATCTGAATTACAATAAATAAACAAGATGATTAAGGATGAGAGAAAATTACCAATCGCAACAAATAAATGTTATTCTATCCTTTCTGGATAGACCATGCACTGATTCGTTCAAAAGATAATATTTTGTTGCTTTATAACACAGAGTGTTTCCAATTCTGGAATAGTGCTTCAATTCACAATCAAAAATGCACGATTACAGTCAATGCAATCAACACAATCAAAGGAGGAACAAATCAATATGGCTGCCTCCAAGACTAAGTATCAACTAAAACAACATAAATGAAGTTCAGAAAGAAACATGGAAACTCAATGAAGGCGTAAGGAAAACAAAATACAAATATTGCCATCTTAAATGGAATCAAAAAGTTTAATAAAATGTACAACTGAAGGAATCAATAGGAACAAATTACAAGTGTATAAATGAAGGGATTCACACAAACAAAATCGTCAAAATGGATCTTACATTTTCATCCATTGGCCAGATACCATCAGCAACAGCCTTCTGTGGGAGAGAACAAACCAGCTTCCAGCTGAAGAGGAAATTAGGAAAAGATTATGGAAATGGATAGGACATACATTACGCAAATCATCAAACTGCATCACGAGGCAAGCCCTAAATTGGAATCCTGAAAGGAAGCGGAAAAGTGGAAGGCCAAAGAACACATTACGTCGGGAAATAGAATCAGATATGAAAAGGATGAATAACAACTGGAAAGAGCTGGAAATGGTTGCTCAGGACAGGGTTGGATGGAGAATGCTGGTTTGCGGCCTATGCTCCTTCACGAGGAATAACAGGAGTAAGTAAATAAGTAATGTTCAAAGAGGTCACACGTGAAAATAGACCTATCTTTCATCTTCCTTAAAATCCTAGTTAACATCTTTTCAGATGATTTTTCAGAGCATTTTTCATCATTCGAATTCATCAAAGATATCGAGGCTTAACTTCATCATAATGTTCATTAAACTTTCTTTAATAAAATCAGTTCATTTCTCTTCACAGATGTTGTGTTTTCCTTCCTTCAGATCTTGAAATGTTTATTGATAATTGTAAACAAGGTTGATGTAATCTCAATCTTATTATTACTATGTACAAATATTATTTAAAGATTCACTTGGTATTATTTGGCTTGTATCTTCCCATTGAGGTTTAGGACTGCAATTGATCAGTCTGTTATTGGCATATGTGCATACTGTGCGTATGCCTCGATATGCAAATAATAAACTGATCAATTGCGGTCTTAAACCTCAATGGTAAGATACAAGCCAAACAATACCAAGTGAATTTAAGTTCACCCCATTGCACAAGCAAGTGGCGTTTGAAGCGAATGTCACTGGGTTCGAGTCCTAGAGTGAACATCAACTCTGAGATGCAGATACATTCAGCTGACGAGTCCCAAATAGGACAAAACGCGCGTCGTGGATTCCACTGCTAGCCACTATCCATGATTGCTTACAAAATAATTTAAAGATGTTTATCTCTTAAACTGGAAAAAATAGGTTGGATATTTTGTTTCACGTTTTGGAAAAATACTCAAGACATAGTTGTTTTGATGATGTATATGTTTGGCTTTCTTTGATTATACGCATGGACATTTGTTTAAACTTGAGGAAACGAAACATGTAAACAATTATATACATATATAACGAAGTAAATACAATCAAAGGGTAAATTATTCAGTTCTGATTAAACATAAAACAAAGAAACTTCTTTTCAATAAAATTCTCTTTACGCTTTTTGAGATGATGGCGAAGATTTATTGTTCAGGTGGATGATTTTGATGTCGAGTTTTGTTCTCTGAGCTGAATGGTTTGGTTGTGAAAATTGGATCATTCTTCTGAACGACATCATCAGAACAACTTCAGGTAGAAGTGAAATTTGTGCTTGTTGTGATGTTGTTCAGAAGAACGATGAAAGCTTCACGACCAAATCATCCAGCTTAGAGAACAAAACTCCACCAAAATCTTTACGCTTTGTTTTAACATGAAATGATGTTGATTTGTAAATTTAAAGACATTAGACCAAGTAAAGTTATTGACTGTATGATTTGATATAAAATGATTGTTTTCGGTAACTTATATTTGTTTATCAATACTTTAATCAATGATTAGGGATAGCTCTAATAGGATATGAATTATCTAATAATCACTAACTTGAAGTTGAACAAGCCGAACAAAGCAAATACATAGCTTCACTTTATTACATTTGTTTATTGATTAGCTTATGACAGATAGAATTAACTAGAGCAATAGGAAATGGATTATCATATCGTGTAGCACTTTTCAAACAAGTTTTTTACAAAGGGAAGGTTATGTATATCGGAGTCTGTAACCATCGTCTTAGTATTGAAAAGAAATTTATAATACTTCTTTAACTTTCTAAAACACAGAAAACTTTATAAACAACGTTGCTTAATTTCAGTCCTTCGCCATATTCTCTTCTTCACTACTCAGGTATTTAAACATTGATTATTTACAGAGTTCATATGTCAGTATTAAGCAACTTCTAACGATCATTCTTTCTAAGATTTCTTCTCGTGTTTCACCTTAATTCGAATATTCGATCATGTTTGTCATACTGTTATCACGATTTTTACTACTACTATTATTATTACTACTACTCACACTACTACTGCTATCTAACCGTAAATCTCCATCAGCTGAAGTGTTTGGAGTATGTGTTATGTATGCTCTACCGGAATCTACCTCGACTGGCGATTTTTATTCGGAGGCGGAATGGATTGAACGGCCGAGATGGTAACACTAAGACATGACATCAGTTCATGAAGTTATTGATCGTTTTTCTGAGCTACTTATGTAAGTGTACACTACTTGATTAAAGACTGAGTGATTTGTCTCAGAAATGTTCTCAGCTGCCCAGTTAAATTCACTCTGTACCTTTTTCTTAGATCCTAAACCTCTCAATTATTCATAGATTCATATTTCTTTCTTCAATCAAATCAGTCCCTATTCTTTTCTGTTGTCATTAATACTGCTACTGCTTATAGGACCCTGACATTTCGTTGTGCTAATATGGAAGGATAAACTGACCTATTCCGTATATGTCCAAGATTCTATGCTGCATATGACTGACTGTATATAGGAGTAAAACCTTATGAAGATCCAACTGAATATAATCATATTCTTACATTTGCTTTATCTTAACTTAACTACTGGGAAATTTTAATATTTTGAAATAAAATACTTGCATCAGTACAACAGAAATACTGTAGTCTTATATTTCTTACAACTTATATGGATTATTCATATTACAATGTATTACATATTTAATATTTTTTTATATACTGTAGAGGCACCTATGATATATATGTTAAACAGAATCAGTCAACTGAAGAGAAAATTGGTGAAAAAGTTGGATCATACAATGGTCATGGTTCATTTGGTGAACTTGCTTTAATGTATAATACATCACGAGCTGCTTCTATAATAGCTACTACAGATGGTATACTATGGCTTATGGATAGAAATACTTTTCGACGTATTGTTCTTAAAGCAGCCTTTCATAAACGTCAAACATATGTAGAATTGCTTGAGGATATTCCATTACTTAAAGAATTAAGTAGTTATGAACGTATAAATGTTGCTGATGCTCTACAATCTAGAGTATATCAAGATGGAGCAACTATTATATCTCAAGGTGAAACTGGCAAAGAAATGTTTATTATTGAATCGGGAACTGTAAGAATAAGTGTAAAAGAGGTAAGGTTGAATAATGTTTAATGTAAATATGACCATACGATAACTGTAGAAAAATTACATCAGTTTCCTTAGTACTGACTTTATAACCAAAAAAACTAATCATTCGAAGAAAGTAACTTGTTTGTCAAGAACAGATTTATGTTTTTGTGACCCGGGATCTGACTCCAATTAGATCAAACGAATGAACGTTATTGAATGATTGCTGTCGAAATATACATCCTGACTATTCTCGTATATTTTTATCGACTTAGATTGCGTTGTTGAATAACGGAATTAAATAAGTCAAATACGAGAATGGATATTTGAATACGTATATTCTGTAAACTCATTGATTTGAACAGACAATCAGAGAATCTCAGAGAATGAAGCAAAGAAGAGAGAGCGAAGCAAAACAAACAGACGCACGGTGGAGAAGACGTGTAAACCAACTGCATTTATTCGTCACACAAAAATAGGCTACAGACATGTGATGAGTAAGGCAATTAACCAGCACACATACGATCCTATAAATACAATCAAGGTTAATAAGCGAATAATTGACAAGGCTAAAATTTGACTCATTAGGAATGAATAAATTGATCTGTTTGGAAGCTAGAATAAGTTATATGCGCTTAACATAGGAACTGATACTACAATGTACTCGACTTTGAGCCACATAAGGGTTCATGACGTTATCTGGCTGCTTAGATCAAAGTTGAGCGAGGTTGGCACCTGTAATTTCTTGCTAAAAAGGGAAGATGTTAACCCATCTTTCCACTTTGTAATCTCTGTCCTCAAGTTGAATGCACGGTTGTTGTTTTTTTCAGATAAATTCAGGCCACATCTCATATCAAAAACACAACTACAATTTGCATAAATTGTAAATAACTAAATATCTAAAGTTAGTATACATGTGACACAGTTCGGATTCTTCCTAGTATAGTTTAAGTTTAAAATTTTGACCATTACATCCTTATACTAAGATCTACATTGGCGTTATTTTTCTGTATACTTGGAAGCATGCATAGCACGAAGTTTGGAATCATTTCCAACTCTATAATGTTGAATTATTTCAAAGAATTGATACTTAAATAAAGAAATATCACTTCAGATAACTTCCTATATCATAATACAGCTCATTTGATGTTAAACCTCCCATTCTGTTATATTATTAAACATTGTTGGTTAGATTGAATCTTCCCTTCTCAAATAAACATTAATTCACCTAATGACACTTATAAGCTTGAATATTCAAACTATTAAGATATTAATCTATGGTTATTTAGAAAATGTAAAAGTGCCTACTGAATACTAAAATATCAGTAGTAAATACAATATAATTACCTTAATTAAATTATCCAAATTACGTAAATTTAGTTGATTGATAGAAAAACAAGTTTAAATAAGTTTTTGTATTCATTAAATAAGGTTCACTTTATGATTTCTACTATAGAATTCAAAAGAAGTGGAATTGAGTCGAGTTGGTAAAGGTGCTTATTTCGGAGGTATGATACATTATTATTATTATTATTATATTATTATTATTATTATTATTATTATCATTATTATTATTATTATTATTATTATTATTAATGACCCTACTCAATATTATAGTTTTCGGCACAGTGTGGAATTCGCAGCATAAAGTATTTCAACAAGTTTCTGTTTCTTATTTCTTGATCGATATTGACGATAAATATTTAGTGATCACCAGTTAAGTGTTATCAGTTCAAGAATCAACATCTGAATAATGTACAATTCTCTCGAACGCATATTGTCAGACACTAAAATGTCTGTGATTATACCTTTTTGTAACTTGTACAGAGAAAGGTTGTATACTTTTGATAAACGCTCTTGAATAGGTTATGCGATTACTAGATATAATGATGTGTTAAAACAAACAAAAAGAACATGTTGAAATATTCTGATGGTAGTAACAAGTAGTCGAAATATTCCGGCAGACCGCCAACCTCCGTGCCGTTACTTACTTACTTACTTACTTACGCCTGTTACTCTTTGTGAAGGAGCACAGGCCACTCACCAGCATTCTCCATCCGACACTGTCCCAAGCAATCCTTTCCAGCTCCTTCCAGTTGCAATTCATCTTTTTTATGTCTGCTTCTATTTCCCGACGCAATGTGTTCTTTGACCTTCCTCTCTTCCACTTCCCTTCAGGATTCCAAGTTAGAGCTTGCCTCCTGATGCAATTTGATGATTTGCGTAATGTATGTCCTATCCATTTCCATCGTCTTTTCCTAATTTCGTCTTCAGCTGGAAGCTGGTTTGTTCTCTCCCACAGAAGGCTGTTGCTGATGGTATCCGACCAATGGATGTTGAATATCTTGCGTAGACAACTAGTTATAAGTACTTGTACCTTCTTGACGATGATTTTAGTAGTTCTCCAAGTTTCAGCTCCGTACAGTATAATTGCCTTGACGTTGGTATTAAAGATTCTCACTTTGATATTGGTTGAAAGTTGTTTTGAGTTCCATATGTTCTTCAATTGTAGGAATGCGACCCTTGCTTTGCCAATCCTCGCCTTTACGTCTGCATCTGAACCTCCTTGTTCATCGATGATGCTTCCCAGGTATGTGAAGGATTCTACATCTTCAAGAGTTTCGCCATCAAGAGTGACTGGATTGCTGTTCTCCACTTTGAATTTGAGGACCTTGGTTTTCTCCTTGTGTATGTTGAGGCCTACTGATGCAGAGACTGTTGCTTTCCGTACCGTTAATGGATGTAAATATAAAAGTGCCACATAAAGTAGTTTCATGTTAAAAAAAATAGAAATCGGATATAGTTATATAATAGTTGATAGTTGAATAGACGTTAGAAAAAATTCCTGACATTCTTTGAGATGAGAACTAATTTTACGAATATAACGATTATTATAGTTTACATGATAAAATTATTTTCGTTAGATAACGATTGAAAATCAGCAAACATTGGATGGTTGTTTCGTTTTAATAAACAACTTTCTAACAGTATGAATTTACATCGTCACTAAAGAATCAAGCCCAGTACCCTTGATTTTGAAACAAATGTTTAAAATAAATGTTAATGAGTCAGCGTCCAATCGACGTACTTTAATGAACTCATGATAGTGATCAATCATTTTCTATTGTCTGATGTGAATAACTATTTTATGCTTGAAATGGCTGAACTTCACAAATCAAGTCTTCTTATCAGAATTTCTGAGATTACCTGTCAAAGTTAGTTACTAGTTCTCATAATAATGTATGTCTTTAAATGCAAATACATATTCTCATTCATTGAAATCCATTAGAGGATAGTTGAAAACCTACAATTTTAGATAGTTTTTCTTTTTCTTTTCAACTCGAAACTCTTTATCACTATTCATAATAATAGTAAATGGTGCCACTGAATAATGTTGACAGTAAAACATTAATTCATTCATAACAGTGATTAACCATTGTATAATATCATGAATTAGATGAAATCAAAAATGTGAACTTCTGGATTTTAATTCACTAAACCGAAGATAATCTTACGTGATCATTTCAATCTTATATAAGATTGTGAATGTTAAGATAGCTGTCCATTGTCTATTAGTTCTCCATGTGATGTTAATTTTTCACAAACTTCATCTTCAGAAGAAATAAACAATTATTTTTTGAAAAAACTTTACTAACTTACTTACGCCTGTTACTCCTAATAGAACATAGGACGCCGACCAGCATTCTCCAACCCACTCTGTCCTCCGCCTCCTTTTCTAGTTCCATCCAATTCTTGTTCATTCTTCTCATGTCTATTTCCGTTTCCCGGCGTATCGTGTTCTTTGATCTTCCTCTCCTCCTTTGGCCTTGAGGATTTCAAGTGAGGACTTGCCTTGTGACATAGTCGAGTGCCTTCCTCAGTGTGTGTTCTATCCACGTCCAACGCTTCTTCCTGATTCCTTCCTCCGCTGGAATCTGGTTTGTTCTCTCCCACAGTAGGTTGTTGCTAATAGTGTCCGGCCAACGGACCCGAAGCATTTTGCGTGAGTAACTTAATAAACACCTGTATTTTCTGGATGATGGCTCTCGTAGTTCTCCAGGTTTCCGCACCATACAGTAGAACTGTCTTGACATATGTATTGAAAATCCTGACGTTGGTGTTGGTTGACAGTTGCTTTGTTTTCCAGATGTTCCTCAGTTGTAAATATGCTGCTCTTGCATTTCTCGATCCATGCCTTCACATCTACATCAGATCCATCATGTTCATCAATAATGCTGCCCATGTTTTTTAAAGAAACAGTACACAAACATTATTTGACATTATCTGTTCTATACAAACAAATCAGTTTTTATCAGTTATAAAATATACAACAACAATTCAATTCATATGAATAAATACTAAAAATAACAATCTAGTTAGACTAGGTCAATGGAAAAGATAAGGCTAATTCAAAAACAAAAAGTCGGTGTAAACAGTTATGTATTTCCTTTTAATTATGTATATTTATTTAAGATCTTTATTAGGAATTATTTATGTGGTATGTCAAATTTGATTGATTAACCTTTTATCTAAGTAAATAAACATTTGGTACAAGCATCTATAGAATAGTAAGTTTTTAAGTTGAAAATATTTACTTAGACCTTTCATGTAAAAAACATAACAAACTTGATAAGTGATTATATAAGCTAATTTAACTTTAATTCATTTGGTATTGTGTTGTTGTGAACCACCTCGATATTGCTTTAAATCACAAGCTTTATAAGCAAAGATGAATAATAGCTAACAGTGGTGGAATCCAGGACGACTGTTTCGTTCTATTTTGGACCCGTCAACTGGATTTACCTGCTTCCTGGAATTGATGCTCATCCAACTGACGAGTCTCAAATAGGGTGAAACTCGCGTCCTAGATTTCATTGCTAACCACTGTCCATCTGCGTTAAGTTATACTTATTTGATTACTTACGCTTGTTACCTCTCATGAAGGAGCATAGGCATTCTCCATCCAACTCTGTCCCGATCAATCCTTTCCAGTTCTTTCCAGTTGCTATTCAACCTTTTCGTATCTGCTTCCAATTTTTGACTCAGTGTGTTCTTTGGCCTTCCTCTTTTTCGTTTCCCTTCAGGATTCCAACTTAGTGCCTACCTCGCGATACGTGTTAAGTTATACTATAGATAAATATTTAAAACACAGATATATGAACAAATAATACTGCATTCAATAAATTACCTCCAAGTTATGTAATTATATAATCAAATTATTAATCCCAAAACTGTTCAGGTTCAAGACAAGTCCAATGTTTAAGATGATAGAAATGTGAATTTAGGATTGTTGATAAAATAAAATAAAATTATCAGTGGTCTAGAGGTTAAGCGTTCGCGCGCGAGACTGAAGACCCTGGGTTTGAATCCCGCGAGCGGGATCGTGAATGTGCACTGCTGAGTAGTCCCACAAGAGAGCGAAACGGCCGTCCAGTGTTTCCAGGTTTTGAATGGTGGTCTAACATCAATCAGTTCATGATCCCAATCAAAAATTATCAGTGTTGAAATGACTATTAGATGACATTGTCAAATAAATGATCTGAATAAATTTGGGTAACATGGTGTAAGATACATAATAATGTAATTACAAATCGAAATGGATGTTTGGTCAAGTATCAAGTAGTATATAGAATGATAAGAATTAGATAAGAATTAGTAAGTAGGGATGGATACTACATCCAATTCTCGGAACGTTTGTGAGCGTTATAATAAGTGTTAGTAATAATAATACTAAGATATGTGAATAAGTTAATATAATGAAAACATAAAGAGGAAGGTTGCATATACATTAGTCAAATTACATCATCATATCATGAGAATAGTTGTAAACTAATTAAGCTAGAAGTTTGCAAAGGTAACAGAAGCGATTAAATATACTTTCACTGAAGGTAGAGCTCCGGCTTTTTAATCCAAATAGCTATTGCGTCAGCCATTTGAATAATTCTTAGTTTGATATAACTAGGCTGATATTTATTAACACAATAATATATTACTGTATATGTTTGCTCCATGTTCACATGCTATAATTTTAACAATTTATTTGCGTTGAATCTCGCCACTTCTTGGATTATTCATTTGGATACATAATTGTAGAATCTGAAGTCATTTTATTGGAAAGAATATTCCTCGTCAATATATATGTAATTTAATATGACTGGAATTTTTAGCGAGTTCAGTATTTACATCGACTATTAGCTTGACTAACTTGATGGAGTCACCTAAACTGGTGGCCACATTGCAACATGGTCGATAGCATTCGATCTGCACTAAATAAGGACTAGACACACATGACAATGATCACTACCCAGTGATCAATCAATTGTGAGTTGAAGCTAATCAGTGGGAAACTGAAAAGACTCGAATATCTCTGGTTGCAAAAATGGATAAATTTAGTTCGAATCCCGTAGGTAGCATCAGTTACTCCAACCTTACAAATACGTCTTGCTTTCCAGTGCCAACTATTAAGAAACCTTAGGTCAAGTGAGTTTCCTGACGACTGTCTCCTACCAGCCAGTATAACTACATAGTACAGATTATATCGAGTAACGTGATCACACTGAGATTTAATTATTAAAGTCAGATTGATACCAAAGAACTAAACAAATATATATTAGTCACTATAGAATTATTAATCAAACAATAGTGATAATTTTATACATATTAGCTAGTAGCTTTGAAATGAAACTTTGGAAAACATTGGAATTAGTTCTGAAAGATACATTATCATGTTTTTTACATCAACAACTCATCTGCTTATCAAATCCAATCAAAATGATCTTTAACAGAGTAGAATTGACAATAAAAAAACAAGGATGTAAACATCGTTCAGAACAGGTCATTTAACCTCTGACATCATGAGAAGCACAGTTGAACATTTATCATCCAGTTTATATATTATCATAATTCTTTTAACCATTCTCACAGAAAGTTTTATTTACATGCTAGTTGGCTGGATGAATTTTCTTCTGGTTAGCGTTTCTTCAGCAAGTTAGTTTTCTACGGGATGGGGACTATGTAGACGCCCAGCTTCGTGACCAACAGGCAGGATTCTGTAAGGATAGATCGTGTACAGACCAAATCGCAACTCGACGGATCATTGTGGAACAATCAATTGAATGGAATTCATAACTCTACATCAACTTCATTGACTACGAAAAAGCATTTGACAGCGTGGACAGAATAACACTATGGAAACTTCTACGACACTACGGCGTGCCTCAGAAGATAGTCAATATCATACAGAACTCATATGATGGATTACACTGCAAAATCGTGCATGGAGGACAGTTGACAAAGTCGTTCGAAATGATGACCGGTGTTAGGCAAGGTTGCCTACTCTCACCCTTTCTATTTCTCCTGGTGACCGACTGGATCATGAAGACGTCAACGTCTGAAGGGAAGCGCGGGATACAATGGACATCTACGATGCAGTTGGACGATCTAGACTTCGCAGACGATCTGGCCCTTCTATCCCAAACGCAACAACAAATGCAGGAGAAGACGATCAGTGTAGCAGCAGCCTCAGCAGCAGTAAGTCTCAATATACACAAAGGGAAAAGCAAGATTCTCCGATACAACACAGAATGCACTAATCCAATCAAAATTGACGGAGACGATTTGGAAGATGTAAAAATCTTTACATATTTGGGCAGCATCATTGATGAACATGATGGATCTGATGTAGATGTGAAGGCATGGATCGAGAAATACAAGAGCAGCATATTTACAACTGAGGAACATCTGGAAAACAAAGCAACTGTCAACCAACACCAACGTCAGGATTTTCAATACATATGTCAAGACAGTTCTACTGTATGGTGCGGAAACCTGGAGAACTACGAGAGCCATCATCCAGAAAATACAGGTGTTTATTAAGTTACTCACGCAAAATGCTTCGGGTCCGTTGGCCGGACACTATTAGCAACAACCTACTGTGGGAGAGAACAAACCAGATTCCAGCGGAGGAAGGAATCAGGAAGAAGCGTTGGACGTGGATAGAACACACACTGAGGAAAGCACTCGACTATGTCACAAGGCAAGTCCTCACTTGAAATCCTCAAGGCCAAAGGAGGAGAGGAAGATCAAAGAACACGATACGCCGGGAAACGGAAATAGACATGAGAAGAATGAACAAGAATTGGATGGAACTAGAAAAGGAGGCGGAGGACAGAGTGGGTTGGAGAATGCTGGTCGGCGTCCTATGTTCTATTAGGAGTAACAAGCGTAAGTAAATAAGTGGCTGGATGAAAATTTATTCAATAAAAAGAAATAGTGTTGACAATTATATAATAATTTTAATGGTTGAGTTCATGAGTCATTTGTAACTTCGTGGATAAGTCAAAGTTAGACATTAACACCGTTAGATGCATGCTCACTGGTCTAGTGGTTAAGCACTCGCGCGCAAGACTGATAGGTTCTGGGTTCGAATCTCGCGGGGGGCGGAATCGTAAATGCGCACTGCCGAGAAGTCCCACAGTGGGAAGAAACGGTCGTTCAGTACTTCCAGGTTTTCCACGGTGGTCTAGCTTTAATTGACTCATGATCTCAACCATTGAAATCACTATAATATCCACAAAACCCCTTCTGATATGAATTACGCAATAATTGACTTCATGAGTTGATTTGTGCTAGAACACCCTGGAAAACCTTGAAGCACTGGATGGCCGTTTCACCCTAACACGGGACTCCTCAGCAGTGCGCATCCACGATTCAAACCCAGAACCTGCGGTCTCACGCACGAACGCTTAACCTATATATCACTGAGCCGGCATACAACGGTGTTAATATCTAACTTCAATGAATCCACTAAATTTCGCGACCGTCCACGATTGTCTTCAGTGAGTAACTGCCTCACAACAGACACGATTTGACTCCACGGGTCAAGTCTACTCACTAAAACTCCAAGAAATACATCTTGAAGCCAGGTACTAGTGAGCACATAATTTATTGGATAAATCGACTCATTAATCCAACTATTAAATTACTACACTATCTACAAACCCTTATTCTGATAATTACATAAGAGATGAATCATTCGAAAATTGTTAAACGTTTATTAAGACAACATGATTCATTTATGTCAATTTGTTAGATTTTATTAATTTTCATACTGACATTATCTCAGATGACTTCCTCCAAATATAAATCTGATTTTAAATGACCTTAAACATGAAGACTACGAATATTTGCATGTAATTAACATCTAGATTTACCATTCATGTTGTCGAAGAATATAACTTATGAAGTAAGTAATTCACTAAATGAAATAATTATCATAAATCTTTTCTCTATTTTCATTAAATTTTCAAGAATTGGCATTAATTACCAAACGACCTAGAGCTGCTTCAGCTTATGCTGTAGGTGAGACTAAATTAGCTGGTAAGTGTCTACTGATTCAACGTTGTGTTTTTTTAACTGTTACCTATATATATTCTGTAATTCATTCGTACTGAGTGATTGTATCTTTCTCATAGTACTTAAGAATGCAGTTGATAAGGCTCTTTTTGGCAAATGTGTATTCTGTTCGGATTGCATCAATAACACAGTTAAGCCACAAGTAATCGATTCAACGAAATAAGATGGTGACTTGTAGTGGAATCTAAGACGCACATTTTGAACTAGCATATCCAACTGGTGAGTTGCAAATGGGATAAAAATTGCGTCTTGGATTTCAATGCTAGTCATCACCCAACTATCATTTATAATTGTTTATTTTGTTACTTTATTAGTTATGTTCGTATTTCAATAATTGAGATTATGTGTCGACTGAAGCTGGACCATCATGGAAAACCTGGAAGCACTGGATGGGCGTTTCGTCCTGTTGCGCAGCTCCTCAGCATATTCATATTGTTGTGTAAAAAATAGAAAACTGTTTTACAAGAAATACTTATTGAAATACAATCTGATTTAATTATGATTAGATGTAACTATTAATTGTTTTGAAAACTTTCTAGCTCAGTAAGCGAAACCTCACCTAAATCATCCACTTGAGCTACATCCCTTTCCCATATTAGTTCAACTTGTTAACAAGTCTTTCAGTAAATGGAATATACCCATTAAGACATTAAATAGGAAAGACAGGTTCAACGAAGAGTTCTCTTCTCGGTGAACTCATTTTCAAAGAAGTACAATCGCAAATATATGCACCTATCTTTTTTCAGGATGATAATAATTACAATAATAATGATAATAAACTTCTTTTAGACATGGTAACAGTGAGGTAGAATAAACAAAGGTATTTAAAAAGTATATTTATATAAAGAGGGAAACTAATAATCGTTTGGCTGTTAAGGGTTTAGATTTTCCTCAAAAGATAGATAGGGAAATTATCATTGGGAAAGGATAGGTCAGCATGATAAGATAGAATGTTGAAATTGAGATTAAATGTAATCAGGAGGATCATAGAAACAGAAATAAACCAGTTGAGTGTAGAAGGATTAAAGAGAAAATGGAAGGAGAAGCGGTAGCTATAAAGGAATAACAGTATGAAAATAAATTATAAGACATGAAGTCCATGGTAGAAGAAGAGGTTGTACCAATCTCTTTTATGGGCACACTAATTGGCAATCTTTCTACAAACTGTGTCTTTAAAGCATCAAATTGTTATTTTGAAGTGGCTAAACAGACGTTTTTTCACGAGTTTATTCTTACGAAAATTGTTTGCTTATTGAAATGAACAAATAAAATAAGGTATAGATTTCGAGATGGTGGAGAAGATTTGTAGCTCAGGTGGATGAGTTTGGTAGAGTTTTGTTCTCTAAGCTGGATGGTTTGGTGGTGTTTTACGAATGTGTCGTCCACATAACGAATCCAAATTTTTGGCTTGATCACTGGTAAGATCGATGCTTCTATTCTCTGCATCATTGCTTCTGAGATAATTCCTGATATTAGTGATCCCATTGGTGTCCCTTGTGTTTGTTCACAGATTTTGTTGTTGAATTGAAAATATGTTGTTAAGCATAAATTGATGAATTCTAGCAATCTTTGACTTTGAAGCTTCGTATACTCTGCAAGATTTGCATCGTTGGTGGAGAAGTAGGGATAGAATTTCATTTGCTAAGCTTGATTCAATTGAGGTGAATAATACTGTTACATCGAAGGATATCATAAGCTCATCATCGACCAAACCATCCAGCTCAGAGAACAAAAACTCCACTAAAAAGGCATAGATTCTCCATATAGTTGTATTTTTAAATGATGTTTATACTAATTGAAGAATATTACATTGAATCAAACATAAAATACCATATTTTCAACTGATATTGAGTACAGGATTGTTATAATTAAAGGTGAAATAAGAATGAAACTGATTACAACAGTATTCTTTATTATAAGCAAGATGGATAGTGGCTAGCAGTGGAATCCAGAACACGCATTTCGTCCTATTTGGGGCTCGTCGGCTAGATGTACCTGCATCTCAGAGTTGATGTTCACTCTGAGACTCAAACCTAGCACCATTCGCTTCAAACTCCATCGCGTTATGTTTTTTTTCTACTACTGATATTTGAGACAGAATTGAATCAATGAATCATTCGATATGTTCCCTTATGTTACATGTTTTACTATGTTTCTAGACAGTGGTTTTTAATACGCTCTAAAAAGTATGTTTCACCTTACCTAAGATTCATGAGACGGATATAATTAGATACTAGTGTTGATAATCACACGGAGATATGAAACAAGTTTCTGTTAATTCGAACGTTAATATACCATTTAATAAATAACTAAGCAGCGATAATCATGATCTTATTCAATGGATATGATAATAATTGTTAATAACAGAGTATGTGTTTTTTCGTTGCTAAAACCTAATATAAACATCAACAGTGAGATTTAGACAGATTGAGTTGATAAAATTAAAATAATATAGATTAGGCTATAACCCAACATTAGAAAATGTAATACAGTTATTCAGCTTTTTTTAAAAAAAACATACTACCCCTTCTGATACTAAACAACATATGCTCACTAATGACTGGTTTCAAGAGGTATATCCTGGAATTCTAGTAAGAAGCAGTAACCAGTGGAGTTCAACCAGGTCTGTTGTGAGTTAGTAACTCACTGAAGACAATAATAGATGTGTCGCTCAATTTTGTGGATTGACTGAAGTTAGACAATAATACTGTTGGATACCAACCGACTCAGTAGTTTAGTGGTTAAGTGCTCGCGCGCGAGACTGATAGATCCTGGGGGGATTATGGATGCACACTGCTGAGAAATTTCAAAATAGCACAAAACGGCCATTCAGGGATTCCATGTTTTCCATGGTTGTCTAGCTTCAATTAACTCATGATCTCAACTATTTTTTCAGAAAATACCATTTACAATTACAATTGATTGATCACTGGGTGGTGATCAATGTCATGCTTGTCTAGTCCTTATTAGTGCAGATCGAATGTTATCGATCATGTTGCAATGTGGCCACCAGTCTAGGTGACTCGACACTGCGGGCACTATATATTGAGATTTAGATGGTGATTGGAGGTAGTCAACAGGAAACCCTGGACCCGGGTTTCGTGCTACTTGGCAATCGTCTACAAGGTGTACTTGTAATCTTGAGGGAACTGGTGCTCCCTGGCGGATTCGATCTCGTGTCACCCAGCTTCGCAGTCAGAGACGTTACCACTGAGCTATCCGAGCCGTGACTAACCTCCTGTAGGACTGAGATGTAATCACAATTGATTGATCACTGGGTGGTGATCAATGTCATGCTTGTCTAGTCCTTATTACAATTTATTGTTTTAATTTGTATACTTTTCTTCTCTGTTTTTTTTCTTTCAAGTTTTGGATGTTGCAAGTTTTGAACGTTTAATGGGACCATGTCTTAAAGTGATGCAAAGAAATATTGATACATATGAAAAACAATTAACTGAATTACTTGGAACTAATAATCAATTAAAATTAAATGAATTTAGATCAAAATAATTTAATTCTATAGAAATAAATTTTAAAAAAACTTTTTCTTTCTTTTTCGTTGTTGTTGTTGTTGATGTTTTTGTTGTTGATACTATCGTTTTCTTTTTCAATGTTCAATCAAAATCCAAGATGACTATTTTAAACGAATGATCTTTCTATATATATACATACATTTATGAAAAAAAGTATTCTGTTTATATATTACCAGTTGATTTTGTCAATTTAATGTTTACATTTCAGATTCTTGTTTGTTTGTTTGTTTGTTTTTTTGTTTTCTTTTGTTTTTTTTTAAAGTGAATATAAACTTCAGTACGATGTTTGTTTCATTACGTAACATCAATAAGGTTATTCATAGATATATTGATGATAGTATCATCATAATAGTATATATATGATTTTCTACGGTGAGTTAAATGTCCATCTTGAGTTGCCATCCCAACAACAACAAAAAACAAAGAAAAAAACAACAACAAAAAAGATATATATTACGTAATACCATTCACATATGAAATCGAAAATGATTATCATTGATTATTGGATATAAATCTTCTTTTATGAAAAGAAGAAAACAACAAAAAAGAGAACAGCTAGAATTCATTTTGATTTAAGAATACTTTTTAAACGCTACAAATGTGTTCATTCTTTCTTCCTTTTTTTCTTTCTCTCTTTTTTTTAATCATAACAATCAATATTGTAATAAAGTAGAGAAAACAGAAAAAAAGGCAAGACAAGGTGAGTTACAGTCAAAATGTGTGAAAGAAAAAAAAGGAAAAAAATTTGTGCATTTCCATTTTTCATTCTTGTATTAAGAAATAAAAAAGAGATAGAAAAGAAAACAAATTTGCTTTTCTTATTTGATTTATTAATGTCTAGTATTGTAGTGATATTTTGATTATCAGAGAAGGGTTTTTGTAAATATTATGGTCATTTTAATAGTTGACTTCATCAGTTAATTAAAGCTAGACTGCCATGGAAAACCTGGAAGTATTAGACGGTCGTTTCTTTCTAGTGTGTGGCTCCTTATCAATGCGCATCCGTGATCACGTCCTGTGAGATTTTAAACCCAGGAACTATTAGTTTCTTTAAACCAATGAGCCGGCTGAAATCTAATGGGCTTAATGTCTAACTTTAACTAAACCACAAAATTCAGCCACTGTCGCATGGTGGAATGGTGGGTACGCGCTGCTGAGGAGTCCTATATTAGGATGAAATGGTCGTCCAGTGCATCCAGGTTTTCCATGGTGGTCTAGCTCCATTTAACTCATGAATTCAACTATTAAATAAATAAATTCATTTGTTCGTTCCTTAGGAGAGAGTGTGTGTTTGGGAAAAGAGTTTCAATGTTTAACAGTTTATCACTGCTTTTTCAATATTTTAATTAAAATAAATGTAAAATTACTTAATTACTTACGTCTAATTCTTCCCTCATGGGGGAGCATAGGCCTCTCACTAGGATTCTCCATCCAACTCTGTCCTGGGAAATGTAAAATACATTCATATAGATAGTTTCAATTAATAAAGAAAAGGATTATAAGAAGAGATGCATAGTGAGTAGCAGCGGAATCCAGAGAGTGAGTTTCGTCCTATTTGGGACTGGTCAGCTGGATGTACTTGGATCTCAGAGTTGATTTTCGCTCTGGGACTCGAAACCTGTATCGTTCACTTCAAACGCCATCACGTTATCCACTTAGCAACTGCTAGCCGATATTCATTTTTGTTTATAATGCCTGTAATTTAAGGTAATATCGGGACAATGCGCACAGTATGCACATATGCCAATAAGAGATTATTCAATTGCAGTCCTGAACATCAATGGAAAGATTCAACCAAGCAATACAAAATGAATTTAAAGAAAAGAGTTATTTGAGATGAATATATGTGTCATGTCCCAACAAGAATAATGAATGGTAATTTCGGGGTCCATTTATGTACCAATACTATGCGTGTATTTTTATCGTATAATTGTTAAATAACTATACTATTCGTATTCATGTCTCTCTTATTATGAGCTTTATTTTGACCTATGAACTATTGTTTTACGTTTCACCATTCTTGAATTATGCCCTGTCTATTATTCACTACCTCCCACATTCACAACCACATTTGACCAAATCTTGTATAAATGTTGTTTCCTATTTTATGGTATGGTGTAGTCTGTCTGGTTGGTATATAAACCCAGTATGCTTGAAATAAATGATTCATCTTGCAGAGGCTGAGATTTGTGTTCTGAACTTAACTGGCTGGGCTAGGCAGGGAGCAGGACCAATCAGGACTCTAGGCTGTTCGCACGTGTTTTACGCGTCATTGGTCCTATCGATAAACCACTGCTCCCTAATTATTGGTCACAAGATATAACAATGTGTCAAGAATTGGTATCAATTAGGGAAGTATTAAAATCTGTTAGAGTAGGCTTAAATACGACATTTCTAACTGTGGTGCGTGCTACTTATATTGATATAAGTAGTATATGACGCGAGTCAGGAATGTAATGTTTAGCAGCAGAAGATGGGGATGATCAAGAAAGGAGGGGCGGGAATAAAAAGCAATAAGTATGGAAATGCAAGAACAACGAAGTTCGAGACAATTATTGAACATTTTGCAAATTAAGTATTATAGTATGGTTTTTCTATCTTACCAAGTAACTGTAATTTTATTCCAGTTATAATTCGGTTGTCCTCACCTGAGTTCTTCACTACATAACCGCTTCTTAGTCTCTAGAAATGGTCTACTCTTCAATTATGAAACATAAAATATATATGGCGAAAATTATGGGACAAGACTTAATTAACGGTCTATATATAAAAGAAAAGTATAGATATAAGATTATATGTGATTTTCAGATTGTAAATGCTTCTATGAAATTCTTATTTATTTATTTGAACACATAAATATTGGTAATAATGGGCACCAAATACATATGCGCCATACAAGTCACTTGATTTGTGTGTGGGCTGTGATTCTGCCCGAGTGTCCAGACCAAAGCAGGTGGTTTTCATCTGGAGCCACACCTCGAGCCTTTGACCTAAAGGTCTAATCCATAAGACAGTGAAGCAACGTCAGGTGATGTAGTCACATGTTAACCGGTGACCGACAATTGGTCCATACGCTGTTTGTTCCCGCAGGATCCTGGAGTCCATATGCACCACTAGTTTAGAATCAGATTTTTCCAACTCCCCTAGGTGGAGTCTCTGTGTCCACCAACCCAGTTAAAGAGCCAGACATTCGCTTTTGTCCTCTCAATTTCGTAAACAATAGCAATGCCATGAGAAACATATGCTATTGTTGTATTCAACAGCTCAACCCTGAACTGCTGAATTACTAAAACTTCTGTAAAAGTACACGTTTTTCGATTCATGATCTTTATAATATGGATTATTTTTTACTGTTTTTTTTCCAAACGTACTACTTTTATTTCTTAAACACATACTACCTTTAATAAAAATAATGAAAGAACCAACCGATTGTGGAAAAGAACAAACCAGGTCCCAGCGGAGGAAGAAATTAAGAAGAAACGTTGGAAGTGGACAGGACACACATTGAGGAAAGCACCCAACTGCGTCACAAGACAAGCCCTCACATGGAATCCTCAAGGCCAAAGGAAAAGAGGAAGACCAAAGAACACATTACGCTGAGAACTGGAAATAGACATGAGAAGAATGAACAAGAATTGGATGGAATTAGAAAAGAAATCCCAGGACAGAGTGGGTTGGAGAATCCTGGTCTTCGGCCTATACTCCTGTAGTGACCGTTTGATCTGAGTCCAAGATCGTATAAATGTTTGCTATCGCTGATTCTCGTTTATCATCGTCGACTTAGATCGCGTTAGTCCATAACGGAATTAAATAAGTCGATTAACGAGAATGGCATTTGAATACATATATTTTGTATGTAAAGTGAATGCGATAGAACAAAGCGAAATGACGCGCGGGGAGAATGGCTGGGAAGCCAACTCCATTTTAGTCAAGCATTACTCAATATTTATAATCAGACAAATTAAAGGTACAGACATGTGATTAATGAAATAAGAAGTGCACACATATATACGCTCATATAAAAACAGTCAAGACTGACAAGCGAATAATTGACAAGGTCAAAATATGGCTCAAGTAAAATGAATAAAATAGGATGTCCGGAAGTTAGAATAAAGGTATATGGGTTTGCCATAATAACTGACACTACATAGCCCCCTCGTAGAAAATAGCACATTTAAAAAATGTCTGTTTTCGAAAATAACACTGAAGTGATATGAAGCTAACGTTAACAATAAGTAGCCAAAAAAAATTGTACAACACTCGATAAAGTACAGTGTCACATGAGGGGTGAGTGTATTATATGAAAATGTCATGCTTATGCAAAAAATACATGAATATCGCAAAGACGCGGACAAAAATGAAAATTTTAGCATGTGAATATGAGCAAATTAATGAGCGTACAAAAAATTAACATGTACCAATGCTGTGATTGTCTGAACGATAAAATAACACGTCTGTATGAGTGATTCAAAATATCGTGAAAATAGTAATAAATTGTTTGTGGGTATGACAGGGAAATAAATCGTCAAAATGGCTAGAGTAGAATATGACAGAAATTGGTCTGTGATGGTGACGAAATAGTGAAATATGCGAAATATATGTTCTGTTGAGCCGCAGCAGAATAAATAACATCGACTAGCGACGAGTGAATTCGAATTTAAATGCGTAGTTCCCATTCGTAGGATGATAATAGGCAAGTCGTGAAATGATATCTGCATCGAACGGTGATATTCGTTGCTGTACTGCAATTGATAATAATCATAAAATTTGAAGTCAGTGGACGTTGTCGTCTGCGTTATAACAGATGAATTGAGTTATCGTTAAATATGTATTAGTAGAATGACCAGAGGAACAGAATAGTGACTAAGTAGACGAGGTACGTAGAGTCGAATTCCTTTTTGGTCATGAAGCCTAGAGTGGTTTGTGTGGTTTGAGGGAGATGCGCTCGATCTCGTTTGTTACAAAACCGTACCAAGGCATGACAAAAATACCAATACATATGATTAGCGATTGCGACGTATGAGACTGACTTGGATGTAACGAACAACAGTGTATCTTTGAGAGACTAGCTCTAA